CTTATTTATGCTTAAAGGCAATCTCACCGAAATCATTGTTTCGTGATCACGCCACGTGCGCGAAAGAGCATCGGAAAGCGTATACGCGTGTCTCCGCGACATTTTCTGCCGCAGGAACTTCTAGGAAGTTTCGAGCGGACGCGTAAAAGGCTCGCGTGATATCGGCAAATGCAAAGTCGCGTTCCGCGACGTCCTCTCGTGCGAATAACTGATCGCCGCCGATCCGTATCTCCGCTTTATCAAGTTTCCAATTTCACCTGTTCGTTACACGTAACGAGCGATTACTTCTCCCAGCTAAGTTGACTATAGTACTGTTGTCTGAGACGAAAAGAATTTCCGCCTTTTCAAATAAACTATTATTCATTTCAAAATAGTTTATTTGAAAAGGCGGAAAATCTTTTCGTGAATCGCGATATAGCGTGTTATTATGGTATTTTCCGCTGTGAGGTCTGTAGAAGAACCGTATTCATTGCATCGAGACACTGGCTACGACTGCCTAGCCAATAATTATTTGGTGCAATGGTTAGTATTAGATTCCAGTGGTGGCTTTAAACCAGGTTTTCGTTACATCCTTTATTTAAAGCCACCACTGGAATCTAATACTAAAAATAAAAATTACAATGTTACTACTTGTGCAAAAACAATAAATAACTAATTTTTACTTATAATTAATTAATCACGCATTGTTGCTTCCTCAGTACAGGAAGCTGTTTTCGTAAACAAATTTTTGTTAATTTTTTGTGCCAATGTGTTCAGAATGTTCTAAAACTAAAATTACATTTTTACAAAATGTGTGTGTGTGTATTACGTGTAACGATCAGCGATTACTTCTCCCGGCTAACACCGCAACAACATCCCTCATCGATATCCCAGGTAAATTTGCTCTTTAATTTGCCGATGGCTTTCGTGAAGTGAAGCCTGATAACTCGTCCTAATGCCGCTTCGTTAATGAACGACGTTACCTTCCAACGTTTCTATCTAACGACGTAATGCGGTTATACATTTTCTACTTCAGTTAATGAAATATTTACAACGAGACACTAAGAACATTATAAATTTTTCTTCTTTTTTTTTCCTTTACGTTCGTTGTCACGATCGGTGTAATATGATATGTGATTTCTGCGTGATTTTTGAACAATCAACAAAATAATTAAAGTTACATCGGCTCTGTAATAGATTTTTGATAACATTAATCTTTTCTGATAAATTCTTACACCGCTTTTTGTCGAAACTGATTCGTAGTGACCGAATGCCGCGATTGATGCCTTTCTTGGAACAAGAATAATTTCGCTCGCGCACGATTAATCTTAACCATACCTTTGTATTCAGGAACGCATTTCAGGTCTCGCGTGACTCATCGTCGAGGCCAGGATTGAACCAGAAAAAAAAGATGCATCTATCAATCAAGCTTTAATACCTCGTGATCGAGTGCTACCGGCTCCGGTGGGATCCCAGAATGAGAGAAGATGAGACACGCACAAGAACGTGGGATATCGATCGCAGGAGGATGAACCGCGTAGTTAACCTTCGTCGCTACACGATGGTCATTAGGGTAGCTCTCTTACCGCGCGTCTTCGTTCTTTTTGCGGCGTTCCTCCCGTGAGTTCGCTTGTACCCCCGACGAGAGAGAAAGGGAAAACCGAGAGCGCTCGCTCTCGGATGCTATCGGACAGCTTCGGCCTTGAAAACGTCTCGAGGATGCGAAGACGATTAACTCGTCTGCCGACAAACTGTTGCTTCCAATTTTAGCCGGTCTAATTTTCGCGGAACACCAGAGAGCCGCTACATCATTGTTGCATAAGCGAAAAAAAGTAGCAATTAAACAGCAGAAATGTTACACTATATGAATAGAAGATACTTTATGCAAGTTTTCTTACTTACAGCATTAATTAGTTTTATTAATTAATTTCATTAATTCGGTATATTTGTTGACGGCTGTAAGATCTTATATTCCTATTTTTTTTAATGCTAATTTGATCTTTGCTATTTCTTGCTGTATTTCTCTTCATTTTTATAAATATCGACAAATAAAAATCTATTTTTTGGGGAAACATGAATAAATACTTTACACGAAATGGTAAGTAAGTCGGGAAACAACCAAACACAAATGTCTGTCCGCGGGTAAATAACGAGACAAACAGTTATCGAAAAGAAATGTCGTGAGATGTGCAGAGACCGTAAGTTTCTCTCTCCGTCTCTTTATCGTCCGAAATAAAATACTGTGATCCGAAAAAAGCGTCGTAATGTAGCCGACGTTCAACGTCATAAAAATACTCGGGAACGATATTTAGAGGGACTTGGCACCAGCTTGATGTAATATATTGTCAAGTCGACGCACGTCCTCTGCTGTCTGTCCCCTCTCTCCCGAACACGAGCAGCAGCAGTGGCAGACGATGTAGGAGGTCATCATCGTCGTCTAGTAGCTTGCCAACTCAAACCCTCCGTCGCCCTTTTCCGCCTGCATGGGCTCTTATACTAGAGGAGCTTTAATATCTCAGTCATGCTCTCGGTTCACGGACTAATTATCCCTACCTAGATGCTCGCTGAACTCGTCTCGTGGGTCAGGTCGCCGGATTTGTCACGAGGATTAGTTTCAATGATGCGTTAAAAGCGAGAGAAGGAAAGAGGCAATTTTTATATCGGTCAGCATTAATCACGAAAAATCCTAAGAATAACGTGATTTATACCATGGAAAATTAGGTTAAAATAAGTGAAGCTGATGTGTCACTCTTTATAAAAGTGAAAGCAGTACTGCCGAGCCTTGTACCAACTACAAAATCAACGACCGTAGTTCTAAGGACGGATATTTTGAGTTGATCTTTTCTTAAATGCCAAGATATCAATAGCTTCCGATTTATGACACTCGTCTTGCCGCGATAACAGAGTTTCGCACTTAAATTATTCGTAATTTAAAGTTCGCCGTGGTTAGTTTCAAACATTCCAACTTTTAGTTAGTCGTACTTAGAAAACTTTATATACCGCCTCTTTCGATCGATGCATAGCTAAAACGAAACGTAGCGTACGACCATTGACAGACGTGGAGTCATGGTCGAGTCTATCTTGGACTTATATGTTTCCATTGTTATCGATGAAGAAAGTACATACAAGTTTTATACTGTCGAGAGTAACTTCCTACCCGGCGAACTTTGACTATGGATAATTGAAAAACGAAACTGTTCGCGAGAAGAGTTTATGGCACAAAGAGCATTTGTATAGTTCTACGGAATAGAGCGAGCTTTCCAAGATTTTATATACAAAAATCTGCTACGCGCACGTTAAACGTTGCAAAAATTATGTTAATGCAATATCGGGATTATCACTTCCACCTGTTCACTCTTAAGGATAAGCAGCCCGTCCATTATGTAGAAATTGGGGAACGTACGTAATAGAAATAATCGAGTGACACCGAAAGTTTCGGCGGACGGCCTTCGGTGAGGTCAAGCGAGACACAGCGCGCACGGCCGGCAGGGTCATCGACACGTGCCGATCAGCGACGGCGTCGTCGGTGTTGGTAAGTATTCCACCGGTTTATATTTATACGAGCCGAAGAGCGACGGTTTCGGGTCACCGCCTCGTTGTCGGCGTTGCCGCGCGAATGATGACTCGATTACTCAGGCCGTGCCTCGTCTCTATCGCGATAATCCGGCGGAAGTCGGAGGAACGGCTCGCAGCTGGCGCCCGGAAACGCACGTAGATACACGTCCCGCGCGCTTGGCCGTGGATACGCACGCTCGAGCCTGTCCCGTCCACCTCTTTTCTTTTTTCTTTTTTTTTTACAGGCGCATCCGCCTGTCTGCCCTCCCCGCACACGAGGAGAAACGAGAATGGCGAATGTACGCTTGACGTAGTCACGCGAGAACAGTCAGACAAAGAAAGTCCGACGGCTAGAACCGGCGGACGGCGAGAAAGCGCCGAATGCAGCTGCCACAACGGTCGGGCATTCACTTCCCCGATGCCGGATGATAGTCTCGTTTCCTTCGAGGATCTACCGGCCGGCTGGACGTTTCGTCGCGGGGATACGCGAGCGAGTAAATTACGCACGGGCGAAACGCCTGTTTCTCGCGAGTATTCGAGGAACTCGGAACAAAACGCAAAACGCTTCTCGAAGCGTGCAGGCAATTCGTGTTTACTCGTGATATTGGATCGTAGTGTTATTGGCACGTTTCAGCTCATTTCTGTGTCGAGGTTATCGACGAGGCAATTGATCGAGTGAATAAAAAAAAAATGCGATAAATGTCACGGATTGCGGCGGGTAATTCACGTCGGCGGGGAAAGCGAATCTGCGGGGTTTAGATCATTGGCGTAGTCATGACATCGTCACGCGGTTCTTTAATGCATTATTATGCGCGTATTTGAAATCGCTCGTGCATGTGCCAGCGCTATTAATGGCGCGCGTAGTCGAGCGGAAAAGTAGTCGCGGTAAATAAACTTTTTATCGTCGTTACATATCGCGTTGCAACCATCAATTGACCGAGCTGATTATAGGACACGTAACGCAACGTCAAACCTATCAAGGCGCCCGCGCCGTTTATCGAGGCGCGGATCTACTTTCGAACCACATAAATTCGCGAGTATGTATTGACACCTGCATTCACAAGCATTTTTATAGCTTGATACTTCTATCTCAAAGTAAAAAGAGATTAACATCTATTGAGAGAAATTCTTTTCTATAAAGTTGGATATCTATTATCTAGTCGAAATCAGAAGTGTTTCAATATCAAAATTTATTTACTTAGTAACTGTAACTGTAAATTATATGTTTCACTTATAAGAAATCTATTTTATTTTTATACTTTATGTTATTTCTCATAATTTAAAGAGACACAACTGTACAGAAAAAAATCTCTAACACTTTTTAAAAATTCTTGTCAACCTATTCTTCATAAGAAACGTTGATTACGATACGTTTTCAACCCGAAAACTTTTCGAAAATTTCCTATGTGGCAACGCAAATTCGCAGGAATGTTCCATTGAAAGACAATAAAAAAAACCTGACTCACCGGAGCATCCTATCGTGGCGATCTCTCTCGAGCAGTTCCTCCGGGCTGGATGGTTGTGGGCCCAAGAGAGTGTGCGAGAGCGGCGGGTAGGCCCTGGATGGTCTCCAGAGCATCTCGGCGGCGTGATGACTCGGAGGCGCCGAACTGTGATAGCCGACCGGCGGCGCCGTGGCCGCGGCACTCGCGCCGGCGTTGGGCGCGCCCTGGGACGGATGCGCCATCAATAGGGACGTGTGCTGCACACTCTGCACGTGCCAAATCCTGGCCGGGGTAGCGGCGGCAGCGGCAGCGGCGGCGGCTACCACTGCCGACGGTGTCGAGGACGACGTCGTCTCCTCGACGCTGAGCGCTGAGCTCCTGCTGCCGCTTCTCTCGTCGCCAGAACCGGCGCTCTTCAGCGAGCTTACCCCGCTATCGGAGCCGCTGTCGCCGTAAGTACCGACGACGCCGGCGGCGCCGCTGCTGCCTCCCGACGACCGTATTCCGCCGACCGCCGTGGGCACACCGGCGAGTACGTTCGCTCCAGGTATCCCGGCCCCGGCCTCCACTTCCATGAGGCCGGCCTCATCGCCACCCCTCGATGTGTGAGACTGCTGTTGTACCTCGAGGAGGCTCGACGGGGTCAGGCGAGCGGTGGGATGGTGATGGTGTTGGTGCGGGCTGCTCGCTAGCTGATAGTGATGATGTTGCGACGGCGGCTGTTGCTGCTGTTGCTGCTGCTGGTGATGGTGGTGGATCACCGGATTGTTGGCGGAATAATGCTGCTGGACGTGCTGCTGGTGGTGCTGTTGATGGTGCTGATGATGGAACTGTTGCTGCTGATGATGCGACTGATGGTAAGGTTGTAGATGATGGTGGTGATGGTGACCGGCGATCGGCGGTGGCGGCTTGTTCAGTCTCTCGGCAAGGATGATCGGGCTTTCGTTGTGCCGACTGCGTTCCTGCTCCCGCTGCTGTTCCAGGAGCAGGCTGCTCTGCCTGCCGGGGCCGCCGCCGCCGCTGCTACTAAACGGACTCAGCCTCTCCAGCACGGAGCCTGAGTCCTGACTGCTCGACTCCAGCAGCTCGACGACCGACTCGACGCTGGCCGCCCTCACGCCGCCGACGCTACCCACGCTATCCTCCGTGCCTAACTCAGTGGTGGTCAGCTCTGTGCGTCGCGACCGCTGCGAACCCACCTCTTCCTCACTAGCGTTTTCGTCGCGCTCGTCCTCTGCTGCCGCCGCCGCCGCCGCCGCTACGTCCTCTCTGTCTTCTTCCGCGGAGCCCTTTGTCTTAGATCGAGTCGACTTCAGCAGCGACGGACTGCCCTCGCGGATGACATTCGTCTTGTCGCTGACCAGCGGCGAGTCGACGTGCAATCCATTCACGAGTAACTGCGGTGGCTGTTGCTGTTGTTGTTGTTGCTGCTGTTCCTTGCGCTCGCCGACTTTATCCGCGCCCCAATCGGTCGCGCGAGCGTCTTTTCCCGATTCTGATTTGTTATCTGGTTGCTGCTCCTCCTTGGAAGCCGGATCGCCTCCGGGATCGACTTTATCCGGAGGTGGTGGCTCGGGTTCTCTGTCCCGCTCCCTGGACTGACTCTCCTCGTCCTCCTCAAGTTTACTGACCTCTCGTTCGGCCCTGTCGTGTTTTCCCACCCCCGCTTCCTCTTCGTCGTCGTCTTCGTCCTCGACCTCTCTCTCTGCCTCCACCGCCGACTCTCTGGCCCGATCCGCTGCAGCTTCCTCGGCGTTTTTGCCCTTACTACTCTCGGACCGGAGCTTTCTGCCGACGGGGCTTGTTCTTAGCCGCTTAGTCAGTGGATCGCAACGTTCCTGACTCTCTTCATCCTCTCCCTCGAGACGCTCTTCCTCCTCTTCCTCTTCCTCCTCTTCTTCCGATCTGTTACCGAGGCGTTCGTCCTTGTCGGCTCTCGCCTCGGTACGATGATGCTCGACAGACTCTCCCTCTGCGCCTGTCTTGACTTCTTGGCCGCCTCCCGACCTTGGTCTTCTTCGTACCGGTCTCTGGTGCTGCGCCGGACTCTGGTGATCGGTGGTCGGGCTTTTTACCGCGGGGCCGCGTCTTCGTAGCTTCGAAACACTTCCCGACGCACTATTCGCTTCCTCCAACACCGGCCGCGCAACACGATTGCTTACCTTGCCCGACGGCGGACCTTTATTCTCGCGATCCTCCTGTTGCCGCGTGGATAACGCGGTATCCGCCGAATCTTTTTCGGTTCTCTCGCGACTGGCACCCTCGCTCACGCGTCGGCGTCGATTGTTACGGGCGTTGTTCTTCTCTGAAAAACGAAAAAAAGCGAACGTGACGTATGCATAGCATACATACTGAAAAATGAAATTGATACTGAATCTATCTTGAAATCGAGCGCAGTGAAGTTAATTTTAACGTTAAAACACGTTAAAATTAACACGTTCCTATTTTCTCTATCTATGTCATAGGACTATAATGCAGGAAAAAATAGCGAATCGTTAACTCGGTTTTATTGTTAGAGTTAACAAACTTTAGTACTATATACCCCGTTTTCATAATGATACTATGATAATAATAACGTGCGGAAAGCGTAACCGTATATTACTATGTAGATCAGTTTATAGCGTTGTACGAGATTTTATAATTAGACATAACTGACGAGAAATGGCTTTTAAAAACTGACATCAATTCAAAACTTTTTCATACATAGTTCTCTTTTTGTTTATTCTCATTTTGGAATTTTTGAACGAGGACATGCCGTACACGTACATATCTAATAATATTACGTGACAGAAGTCGATTACATATAAAGAACGTCGTAAACTGATATAAACGAACCGCACAGCCGTTAATTATTGAAATTATCGGCGGTAGATTATCGCGCGTTCGATATGCCTGTACACGAAGGTTATCTCGATACCCTTGATCGGACTGCATAATTGTGGCGGGCAACCGATCGATCCCTACAGCTGTCCGGTACATCGGCTGTTCACCGTCCAGAGAGATTATGGAGCTGATTTACCGAGGTAATCCCTTTGATGTGCGCAGTCAGTGATTCGCATAACTCGGTAACCCTAGGACGCTATATAAAGCAACCTCCCTGGCAACCCATCCCCTTCTTCCACCCTCGCTTGGTGTGTATTCGCATAATTCAATACATCGGTTCTCATATATTCTTCCGTGAGTTGTTTATCTTTCAAGTCTTACGAAATGGCAAGTTACAAAGAAATCTTTGACGTTGAGTAATGCTCTGTTGTATCAAGCTCTGACGTATTATACAGACGGAAAAATAAACTGACGTATGAAATTGAAAAAAAGATACAATGTTACAACCTGGACTTAATCTTCTTCAAAGTTGAAATGTGATAACAAAAACTTCTTATCATATATAATTAGCGATACTTCACGGATTATTTTTGAAGTCGAGTATTACTTCGAGTCCCGATGCTAAAGTATAAATCACGATAACAATGTAATGCCATTATCCTCTGCTCAATTGGCGCCTATCCAAAAGCACCGATAGCATCGGTAATAGTTGCCATGATAATCGGGTGTAAAAGCTAAAGGATTGTTATTGGTCCGACATTAAATTACTTCCTAATTTATTAGACCAAATCGCTGTTCGTGCAATCGCACGCCGTTCCAAGTGCTCCTGGATGCTCAATGATATGGCAGTACGTTATCAATCGTAGCTATGAATCTTGTCTACTGACCTCGATCGAAAGCGCGCTTTGTACACGGACAACGACAGATCATTTCATCCGAGGAATTGTGCAGTAGTACGGCTGCACGTTCAACTGGTTTTCCGGTTCCCCTCGCATTAGTCCGAGTTCAAGGGAGTTCAAGGGGGTCTTCGATTAACCCGGTAGGTACACGGCCGTAGCATGCGGGAGCAATTTACAACAATGCACGTCATACACGTATATCCCATCCCGAGGAGAGGCGAGCGGATAAAAATTGCATGCCCATCTCTTCGCGCGTGTGCGTATACGCTCATCACGCGAGGGAGAAACTGGTTGGGAACAAATAGAGAGGGATGAACAGGTGAAGGGGAGGAGGCCACGCACAAGCATCCACACACGCACAGGCGTATACACCCACTGCGCGAGCGGGCAGAGAGAAGGACGAAGGGGGGTGCGGAAGGAAGACACGGCGGAGGGATTTATTACTCGAGATTTACTGTTATTACCCGGAGGGGGAGGACCACTCCGCAACGGGCAACGACGATGCATACGGCGTAGGGTGTGTTTATCCGATACGTGCAGTTCGCAAACGCACGCACACACACGTATCTGCACGTGTGTGCGCGGCGACACACGGATGTACGGATGCGGAGCGCATCGTTGGGATGACCCGACATCCGTGCATCCCGTCTCCTAGCGACCTGCGGTTTATCGTTCTACCGTTGCACGCATGTATTACGTCGCGCGTAATTGAACGGTGATCCTGTACTTTGTTTCACGTCGTTGTTGCTCGCACGCGTGACGTCGTCCATACAACTGTCACTTTCGAACCGAGACGAGATTATCGGGTGCCTCTATCCTATCGATACATAACGAGAAAATGGCCTTCTATTGTTGGTAATATTACGTTACTACCAGTACAAGTGAGATTAAAGTAAATGTCTCATAATAAAATGTAGAAGATAATAATAGTAATTCATATAAGTGACATGGGAAAGATTATGAAAAAATTCAGAATAACTTTCTAAATATGTATTTCTCCATGATTAGATAAACGATATTTTTTATGGTGCAAAAACGACTTTTGTTAACAAGCTATTTTTTAAAGTGTTATTTTCTCGGGAAACGTATGATGACTCCTTACGCTTTTGTGGTACAAATGATGGAAAATGGAATAATCTTTGTAACACAATTTCAACGGAAAGTAAAAGGATCCCTCAGGAAGCTTGTATAATGAATATCGAAATATCGAAAAGGGTCGGAGATTACGCGGCTGGAATGGAATTTGCGCTAAAGCGAAAAATACTAAAAAAAAATATATATATATATATGTACATAACGGAGGATTTTTCGATTTTGGTTCAGCACGCGGCATGAATTTTTATTTATGCGGTACTTTCATCTCCCGGCCAAATGCCCGCTTTTATCTCTTTTTCGTAATACGATATTTACGCAATAGATCCGCATTTCACGTTAAATACGATAACATTAGAGATCGTGGCGAGAAATGTCATGTTATCTTATATAACTTTCAACGGATGCGATAACCAAGTTATTAACATGCGATTATCATTTCGTAAAAACATTACAAGATTATGTTATATTATGAGATGAATGATATTGCTTGCGTACATGGTCTTAAGTCAGATTAGATATTTACGTCTAACAAAAAACAACACTTTAGTTTTAGTATTCTAGTAAATGTGAAGTATATATGTTAGTCATTGGACTGTTTTCCCGTAGCGCGTTGCATTATGTAAGACCTACACGTGCAGTTTATTTGCATGTAAATTCTTATCGTCGCGTCCAGAGCATGACAAATTGCTTTTGTCCTCTGAAATAAGTATGATGAAATAAAACGCTATAACCACGAGTTTACTGATAGAAAATTAAAAGATTTATAACGGTAACATTAATAGAACTGTATAAGACAAAGTATGATAAAAATAAAATTAAACAAATAAATTTACGTTCAATTAATTTTTCCCATTAAGATATCCTGATACGATGTCAAGGTAATCGACATATGCGATTCAAAATGATAATCATTTTACAGCTTAAAGACTCATCATCGTTAACAGATCGCATCGATCGACGCATCGATTATCTTCTCGTGAGACAATCTCCAATCTCTATGATCGAAAGCTGTTTACATGACCTTGCATCTCCGCTTGGCAGCGCGGAAAGCGGAGGGCTTTAAAAGCGCATGACCCTTCAAAAGGGGCTAGGTCATGAAAAACAACTCCTACACCAGCGCTCTTTGTCACGAGGGGCAACGATGCATCCCCGGTTTGATAGATATCGTCAGCTTGCAGGCTCCCCGGAGTTGCAGGGTGCGGGAATTAGATATGCTTGGGCGGTCTCGCCAGGCATTTAAACCCTTTGTCAAAATCAACGCCCCATGCAGACAAGCAGGTAGCCCTTCAAGCACTCTCCCACCCGCCCTCTCTCTCTCTCTCTCTCTCTCTCTCTTTCTCTTCGTGGTTAACAAAACATCACCCTCTTTCCTCCAACTCTCGTCGCCTGTTCCCTCGTACGTCTACTATCGACCGCGTCATGCTGAATCCGCATTCTGCACGCGCCATTAGTTTCAACGCAAGTATCAGTCACTGCCACTCGCTCGCTCTATTGCTTCTCTCGAAACTTTGCATTACATACAAAAGTTCGGGAGATAAAAAGAAAGAGGAGAGAAAGAGAGAGAGAGAGAGAGAGAGAGAGAGAGAGAGAGAGAGAAAGAGAGAAAGAGAAGTGTGTCATGGAAATTGAGAAAGCGAGATAGATAATGATAATTAATAATAATAATAATAATGATAATTTATTAATAACAGTTTCGAGAAATTGTTGTCATGTAACTGTACATTATTTCTCATTGGCGAATTAAACCTTATATACATACAAATATTAAAATCCTATTCATTTGATTCTACACTAAGCTTGTTCTGACGTCATATAAAATACAGGAAACCTAGAATATCCTGCACTATCCAGCTTAGAAACATTCGTGATGCTGGAGACAGTTCGTGGAGGAAGAGCGTGTATTCGTACTTCAGTATCTGTCAATTAAATATTTGAAGTCGATAAGCTTAAACCGTCCCATTATTCATTTACTCTTTCATTCGTAACGCATTCTCACTAAGTTTTATCCGTTTTAACTCGTTCCCTAACGGTTCGTCAAATTTTCTATACACTACGGATCCCGGATGTTAAGCGCTTAACGTTCCGCGTCCCATTCGCGCAATAACGCGCACGAGTTTTATATGAATAATGGATAGCGCTAAATGCGCGGCATAAATATGAGGTTTTATGTACCTACATGTTAATACAACAAGGATCGCTGCGCAATTGTAAAGATTGCCGTTAATCCCGCGGGTGGAATACATTGCAAAATATTGCAATATTCACTTTATAACGTTGATTTTAGAATTCGGATGAATAGATTTCCATATAAACGGAAGAACGTGAAAGTGCAATAAAATGTCATATATTGAAATTAATACGGCAGCTAATTAAGCGCTTGTAGTGCGGTGAAGCGCGCGCGGAAGAACGATTTATGCACTAGCGATGGACGACACCGCACTTTGATAATTAGACTGATCAATTAAACGCATTTAAGGGGAAACCAGAT